TTCTCATTCTCATTTATTTAACTACCTATTCCTTGTAGAGACTGTTACTTTCTTATTTTCCTGTTTTTCCATCATTCTCATTCTCATTTATTTAATTACCTATTCCTTGTAGAGGACTGTTACTTTCTTATTTTCCTGTTTTTTCCATTATCATTCTCATTCTCATTTATTTAATTACCTATTCCTTGTAGAGGACTGTTACTTTCTTATTTTTCTGTTTTTCCATTCTCATTCTCATTATTTAATTACCTATTCCTTGTAGAGGACTGTTTTCTGTTTTTCCATTATCATTCTTCTCTCACTTATCTATCCTTCTGTTACTTCTTATTTTTCTGTTTTTCCATTATCATTATTATCCTTATTCTATTTATCTATCTATTCATTGCCGAGGACTGAAAACATGATGATGCGACTGAGCCTTCCAACTGGTCCGCCAGGGATTCGCTCTCTCGGCCTCGGCGCTCGATCGCCACTGACGAAGGAGCAGCCATCGCGCTGCTACTTTTCCGTCCGTCTGTGGCAGCTCATGGGAGGGATTTCTCAGCAAACGCACATACATTGAGACACACACACGTGTTGTATATATATATATATATATATATATATATATATATAGTATATATATATATATATATATATATATATATATATATATATATATATATATATATGTATGTATATGTATATATATATATATATATTATATATATATATATATATATATATATATATATATATATATATATATATATATATATAATATATGTGTAACAAGCACACGCACACACGCCGCGAAAGAGGAAGTGCTGCTCTTTTTCACACGATTTTCTTTATTTCCCTAAGAACAGTATCATTACAAGGGAACCTAGAAATGAGTTAACTATGAACCGTATCACTGGATTAAAGAAGGCAGGACTTGCAACTAAAAAACCTGCAAATTGTTGTTCTTAGTTAAGCAATTTAAGCCGCAGTCTGGGAGTGCGGAGGCAGGACACCTCGTGGAAACCTATTATGCCACTTGTACCGCAGGAGTCGGGTCACACCAGCCATGCACCAAGGGCTTGGTCGAAGGCACAGAGAGATCGCAGGGTTGCCCTTGACATGGAAGGTCTCGCCTGCAGCGAGAAGGACTGGCTCTCAGGCCTTGGTCAGGCGCGGTGCCTGCGACGCTGCCTGCAGCCGAGGGCGAGTGACCGGCGGAAGCAGCGACCCTCGAACCCCGCTGGGCATCGCACGGGAAATCCCCAGGTTCTCTAACTGGCCTGCCTTCTCCAGCAGGATGGTGGCCCTGCCCGCGTGGCGAAATCTGCATGGCGCCCTTGAGAAAGGATTGGCCGGCCAATAACCCGGATATTGAGATGTAATAAAGTATCTTTCCCCGAAGTCTGGCTCTAGGCCTACACGAAGCCTCACCTTTCCACCGTCAGATTGTTGAGCCTCGAAAAGTGCCTCTGGATCCGCGTTTGAAGTGGTGAGCGACATGGCTTGAGAGGCAAACTTTCTTAGAGATTTTACTCTCTCTCCCTTCTCCCTTTCCCTTCCCTCCCACTCTCTATCTATCTGCCTCTTATTGTTACCACTACCAAGCCCCGCCAATAAATATCTATGAAGTCACAAAGGTTATTACAAACGGAAATCATATTTGGCAAAATGACAGAAATCAAATTCATTCAACATATCTCGCATTTTGTATACAGATTAAACGAAGTAAAAAAATGAAAATATAAACATTTGAGAAAGAACAATTACGGTTTGCGCTTCGCTTTTGTCTCCCAGAGAGCAGACGACACTCGAGCGGGTTGCTTTTACGAAAATCGGAGAAAAGGAAAGAACTGGAATGAAACAATGCCAAAAGAATGAATTCTTTGAAGATTATTGACTACAAAATTCGTTCTATTTTCTGATGTTCTTATGTCTAAGCGCCAAAGGAATAAGATTCATTTCTTCTTATTCATATCTGTCTTAGATGAAGGAGATGAATCGAGTTCGCAGTCTGAGTCATGACTTGCTTCGATTTCTGTTCCGGAGAGAAGGAAGGAGCAAAGGGAGGGCGTGAATAAACTATTATTTCATTGGTCTACTTATCTGCTTTAATGTAACTGTGTCTGTTTTCTCTTCTCTCTTCCATTCTTTCTTCCTATATACCTTTCTTCTCTTTTCTCTTCTCTCTCTCTCTCTTCCTTTCTCTCTCCTCTCTCTCTCTCTCTCTCTCTCTCTCTCTCTCTCTCTCTCTCTCTCTCTCTCTCTCTCTCTCTCTCTCTCTCTCTCTCTCTCTCTCCTGTCCTTCCACACAACAACTTCCTAATTCCCTGACCTATCTCGTAGCGACGCCAGCGCCCCAGGCCAGCAGCGGCGAAGAGACGAACCAACAGCAACGAAAGAACAATCTTTATTTCACTTCTCTGCCCTTTATTTTCTGTTTTATTGTCACAGTTTTCTATATTTTATATCAATTTGTCTTTCTGTCGCATATCTTATCGCACTTTTTT